AGTGTGTGTGTGAGTGAGTGAGTGTGTGTGTGTGTGTGAGTGAGTGTGTTGAGTGTGTGTGTGTGTGTGAGTGTGTGTGTTGAGTGTGTGTGTCCGGTGTTGAGTGTGTGTGTGTCTGACCCTTGCACAGTGGTCTGTAGTTGGTACAGCAGTCTCCTCTCCGCAGACAGTCGTCTGAACAGTGACAGGCGTAATCCTCGTTCCTGATCTCACCGCAGCGCTCCCGCGAACACTCGAACCCTCCCGCTACACACAACCAGTGTTAAAGTTTGACTTTTTATTTTTAATTGTTTATTTTAATAGTATATTTTTATGATTTTATTATTAGCTTTTCATCAACTTATCCCAGTTTGGGAAACTCTAAGAGAGGTGTATACTTTCAGTGTTTTGTGTGTACATTGTCGTGTGTGTGTGTGTGTTTTCTCACCTGTCTTGAGGCACTGCTTGTCGAAGTCAGAGCAGCAGCTCAGGTACGTCTTACACAGATTATCACACCTGCAGCTGGGCGGCTCCGCCTCCTTCAGCTCGAAACAACGGCCCTTACAGGAGCCCGAGAAATCTGACAACAACACACAGTTCTTCAGTCTGATGCGATGAACACACACATGAACACACAGACGTGTGGAGGTGGACTGACCTCTGTTCTGTGGAGGAGTTTCATCCACATCTCCTGACAACTGACCGGCCTGAAACACATACGCCTCACACACAGCCAGCACCAACACACACACCGCCTGAGGAACACACACACACACAGACACACACAAACACAACAAAATTACCAAAACTTTAACTGACATTAAAATGAAAATAGAATTTAGTGCATCTCAATGATTCTAAAACGCTGTACAAATCTCCACCATTCATTTCAACAACTAATTTTTAATAATTTTAACAATAACTTTTTCTGCTTGTTCTTTGAGTCATCAGTAATGAGCTTCACTGTGTTTGAGATGTTACTCTCTGTGGAGGAGTTTCATCCACATCTCCTGACAACTGACCGGCCTGAAACACATACGCCTCACACACAGCCAGCACCAACACACACACCGCCTGAGGAACACACACACACACACACACAGACACACACAAACACAACAAAATTACCAAAACTTTAACTGACATTAAAATGAAAATAGAATTTAGTGCATCTCAATGATTCTAAAACGCTGTACAAATCTCCACCATTCATTTCAACAACTAATTTTTAATAATTTTAACAATAACTTTTTCTGCTTGTTCTTTGAGTCATCAGTAATGAGCTTCACTGTGTTTGAGATGTTACTGCATTTCCAGCAGAAACTCAGGTGACGTTTTACAAACTTTGATTTGAAGAAACACACTTACAGTGTTTGACAACTGCACAAAAAGAAACAAGACAAAGATGTGAAATTGAATTAAAAAGCAATGAAGAAATATAAAACTTTAATAGTAGGCGTAGCATGGCAGCTCAGATGTACATTTTAGTCTGGGACTGGGCTGTCTGTGAAACCGAGGAATGCATTATATGAGTAGCTTTAATTATGCCTTGTAATGCACCGTACATTGCATGCATTCATTGTTTTGTCTTATTTACACCAGTAATCGCCTCTAACTTCATGCATTTAGCTGCTATTTGCACTTCTGTTTTAGACGCTGCATTTCATCGTCTCTGATTATCAATGTGAATGCATTAATGCAATGCATTGGACAAAAGCATCTGCCAAATGCATAATGCATGAATGAATAATGAAAACAATAACACAATCTAATCAGGGTTATTGTAGTCTCATTGATATAATAGTATAGATTTGTGTTAGACATTCCGTTTTAATTTTTATTTGAGTATTTTTGTTGTGTTTTTGTCATTTTTATTAGTTTTTTTTAATGTCCATATAGTTTTTAATTAACTTTATTTCAGTTTGTTATTTTAGTACTTAAAAGTTAAACTAAATGAGAATGTGAAATTGACTTGCAATTCATGAATTGAATTTTTTTTGATGGGTTTAGTTTTACTTGCTAATATAATAACCCTGAATCTAATGGAATTTCATATATATTTTATTTTAATTATACAAGCTGCATTATAATGAATCGTAATAAAGAACCTAATAAATAGACAGATGCTTTAGTGATTTCAGTGCATTAAAAATGTTATGCTCATTACATTAAAACACGCTTATTTCTGAAGCTCCGCCTCAGATTTGCATTGTGTTTAATAGTTTTAAATCTCGTGCGGGACAGAGATGTGAACACAGGACAGTTCAACAGTGTGTGCTTGCGAAATCTGACCTGCAAAACGACCCGCACAGGGGTTTATTTCAGACTGTATCCTCTAACCACTGCGACACTTTCGCGTTCAGCCCGTGACTGTCAAAGCGCGTTATAACGGCAGCGAGAGCGTGTTTTCATCGCAATCTTACCAGTGTTCCCACGCGCATGATTCCCGAGAGTCCTGCTGACCGATCGCGCGGCTCCGCTACTGATGCGCGCGCCCGTGCGTCTCTGCGCGTGACCGCGGCGCGCGACCGCGTCGGCGTAGCTGCGCATGCGCGGAGAATGCGCGGGAGCGCTCAGTCTGAGGCGAGGCACGAAAGTCGTGGAAACTGATAGTATTGCTCTTTTTACTTCATTTATACCTTTAATTAAGCGATCTTTGAAACTGCCAGAACTGAGGCGGGTTAAAGTGAAGCAGTTAGTTTGGGGGTAATAACCCCTCAGAGCTGCACAGACATGCTGGGGTTTTTCCCAGAAAAGCTCCTCTATATCCAGCAGGTAAGAGCGCTAACATGCAGAGGATTTCTTGGAAAAGTGTTCTTTCACCTGGTAACGCTGTAATTATGAGATACGTGTTAACTCTCCTCAGGCTGTTCCTGTGCAGGGTTGCTAGGTTTTCACAACAAAACCCGCCCAAGTGCGACTCAGAACGAGCCCAATCGCACTCGGGGGGTGAAATACACGTTATTTTGGTGGGGTTCTCCTGGTAAAAATTTGCATTCCAGGGTCTAAATATCACGTCAACACGCGGCAACTGGTGTTAAAGGGCTCATATGATGCGATTTCAAGTGTTCCTTTCTCTTTGGAGTGTTACACCAATTAAGGGGCGGACCTGGCAACAGTGCGCCTGCACACACTGATGATTGACAGGTGAGACTGACAGATGGTTTTGAGGCCGGCAGCCTCTGATTGGACGGTTTCACACCTCAACATAGACACGCCCACCACTGTGGGTCACCTCTATACTACTTACGGTGATACATTCATGCCTTGTCCAAATACCCACACTTGCGGTATTTCCTGTATTTGGCCCAAGTGTGTCGAACTTTTCATTACCTGATGGGACAGACTTGTAGAGTTGTAAAAATGCAAGTGTTTACATAGCTTTATTTTAATTTTAAATACTTAGCATTTTAAAATCAACTTCTAAATGTCCGTTCAGTAGTCCCTATACCATGATACAATTTTAATTTGTGGTGCTTCTAATTAAGTGATAAAAAGCAGTTGCAAATGTACAAAATAAATATCACCACTACTCGTCTTTGCACCAATAAAACGTAAAAACACTGTTTTTCTACCAAATTATATGTAATATCTAATTATTATATTAATATTTAAGGTTTCCGTGACCTCTCGCGAGATCTCGGCAAAAAAAGTCTCACGATTTATTTCCAGAACATGATGCATGATGGGATACACTAAGCTCCGGAGCACTATTCGAGATAGTGTGGATTTAGTGTGCGTTAAGGGCACTGCGCTCTGGTGTTTTTAAGACCTGGGACAGTCTTTGCACACTTACTTCCTGTCGCGCGCAAGCGCTTTCAAGTGGCCAAGACCGCAAGTGTGGGTATTTGGACAAGGGGTTAGGCTGCGTTCCAGTCCGTTTTTTTATACCCTCCCTCCGTCTCGTTTAGTCCTAAGCCCTTGATCACTTAGAATCAGCTATGGAGTTGGTTTATTGTTTACATTTTTTCCCTTAATAATTTGTTTGGTGCAGCATTCTATATGTATATAGGTATGTTTGGGCTGTTATAAATGTTAAAAAAATCATTTATATATTATAGAGTTGTTTGGGGTGGGGATAAATTAAACTCGATCAGCGATGACGTCACAATTGTGTTGCATTGTGGTCTATGCAGTGGCCTGAAGTGTGCATATGAAGCAGACTCGCTCCCTCGGTCAAAGTCGAGGATCTGTCCATATAAACTTCCCTCGTCCACTTCACGAAGTGGAACGCACTTCAAAATGGCAGTGGGGATTCCCCTGAGGGGACGTGCTTAGGGAAGTTCACGAGTGCGTGTCTAAAAGTGGAGTGGGACGCAGCCTTAATATGGCTGAATTCGGAAGTGCATACTTGCATTCTACTTTTGCTGCTCAAGAAACATTTCTGATTATTATCAATGTTGAAAACAGCCGTGCTGCACAATATTTTTGTGGAAACTGTGATTTTTCAGGATTCACAGATGAATAGAAAGTTCAAAAGAACAGCATTTATGTGAAAGGAATATTTTGTAACTTTATAAATGTCTTTATACTTTTTTTTTTTGTAAATCTACTTTTGTGAAACTTTTGAATAGTAGTATAATCTCAATTTTTTTTAACATTGATAATCAGAAATGTTTCTTGAGCAAATCAGCATATTATACTGATTTCTGAAGATCATGTGACACTGAAGACTGGAGTAATGATGCTGAAAATACAGCTGCACATCACAGAAATAAATTGCATTCTAACAGATATTCACATAGACAACAGCTGTTTTGCATTATAATATTATTTCACAATATTACTGCATTTTTTATCAAATAAATGCAGCCTTGGTAAGCAGAAAAAAACAGTTTCCCACAATGCAATGTGCTGATTATAAATAATTACAGCAGTTTTACACTAAATTGGATTACAATGACTCTTTATATAGTTCACACCACAACTGTAATGATAACGACACAGAGAAATTATATCGTTGGAATCACTTCATGGTTTTTCTTTTTTTCATTTGCACGCTTAGTTTGACTTGTTACCCATTTGAGGGGCTCTACAAACCATTATGAACTTATCCAGATATGATGCAGAGTATACACTGAATCTTCTGAAGTATTAATTTTTTTATTGGTTATATATTTAGTTAGTTTTTATTTGAATTGCCTCAAAGCTAATCTTGTTAATTACTGAGGCCATGTGATGACACTGAGTATGCATGCTATACTACTGTATGAAATGTCTGTCGCTGCATACTTTTTAGTATGCCGGTAGTGTTTACGGTAAGTACACTAGTAGTCCATTGAGAACGCAGCCGTTGTGTTGGTCTGAGAAGCGTTCGCATCTGTTGTTGCTGTCGATGATTTCTGGCCCGTTCTGCTGGATTCATCTGATCTGAAAGCAAATCTTCAGGACTGCTGCTGTTTGAAGAGCTGAAGGCAGATGAACGTTGACCAGAGACAGACAAATATTTACTCCGGTAAAAGTGCAAACACAACACATTTCCCGCATGTCAGAACCTGTATGGATCCATATGGTTCCTGTCAGAGCTGGGCCTCCCTCACTCTCTCTGTCTGTCTTACCTATTCAAAATTACTTTATATTACATTTTCACCTCAGAAAAACCCAAAATGCCCAGCACTGGATGGGCTTGTAACTACAGGGAAAAGGAGCAGTTCTCCAATCGGCTGACCACTCAGTATCCCACTCTGTTTTGACAAATTTTTCAATCTCAGAGGATATTCTAATTTTTATGATTCAAGCACGACTACAATGTCTTCCAACTACAGTGGTGTGAAAAAGTGTTGGCCCCCTTCCTGATTTCTTATGCATGTTTGTCACTTTAATGTTTCAGATCATCAAACTAATTTAAATATTACACAAAGATAATGCAAGTAAATACAAAATGCAGT